TTTGTTCAGAGGAAAGCAGTTAGGATGTTCTTTGTGGTGTCTTCCCCAAATTATTAATAGATGAATCAGAACTTTCTGCATTCAAAGAAGCCAGAAGCAATGTCTGAATGATTCAATTTGGGACTAAAGAACTCTGCAAATTTTAAAACACTCTAATTAATGTGACAAAAGAAGAGGACTACTGTGGATGAAAATAAACGTAAATGCAAAGCTTCGGAAATAAATGGAATTGTCCGTTGGGGTGAAGTTTGGGTACTCCTTTAGAAGAGTTTCTTATAATTTTGAAAATTAAAAATATTAGGGGGCCATTCAAGAGAAAAGTGTGCTTGCTATGTACGTAGCAAAGTATCTGATCTTTGAGAAAAACGACCAAACAGAGTGGCCCTGCTCTGTGGAGTGGCCTTGATGGAGTCACATTTGGAGACGCGAGGCCCCCATGTCCAGGGCCCTCATGGCTTACTTTGGAGGCTTCACCAGCCAAGCTCTGAACAAGTCTTGGCAGGTTCTGAGACTGCTGTTTTCTCAAGCCCCCTCCCCAAGAATTCTGAGACCATGTTTCCTGATGTTGAGGTTTCTTTTTGTCAGATCCCTGGTCAAGGTGGGCCTCCTTTCAGAGTTTCTACTTCAGGGAGGGGACCACCCTCTAAGAATTTCCTGACAGGTATAGAGAGGGAAAAAAAATTTCTTCCCTCTCCCCACTTAGGTTCACCAGTCGGGGCCCTGTAAATTAGACTGACAAGAGATAAATTATAAGAGAAAAGCATACCAATTTATTTAATGTAAGTTTTATGTGACGCAGGAGCTTTCATTAGGAAATGAAGACCCACAGGAATAGTTAAGCTGAATGGTTTTTATACCCAGTTTGATGAAGGGTGGAAAGGTGTAGAAAAATGAGACAGGACAGGACAGGGTCTGAGCTAAGGATGGTAAACTGGGGGAAACGGAGCAAGGCCTGTTCCTTCAGATTCCTCTAGGCGTCCTCCCGTCTTAAGAGATGAAGATGCTCCTTTCTTCCCAGTGGTAAGGCACTGCTCCCATGAGGGTCTGTGACCTGCTTCAGGGAAGGAGGACAAAGCCAGGTAGTCCTTCCTGCCTCTGCCATTTCCCAAAATCCTTTAGCTTAAAATATTCCACTTGCCAAAGCACCATATTTGGGGGTAGCATCAGGCCACTGATACTTTCCTGCCAGCTTCCAGGAGTAGAGTTGTTGACCACATCTTGTGAAGGGGGGTGGGCTGATAGCTCTAGAAGAGGACTGGGAAGGTGTAGGCTCAAGTCCCAGAGTTATTAGGGGCATCCTTATTCTCCCTTGGCCTCCATTTTCCAGTCTGAAAACTGAGCTTAGTAGTAGTTACCCAGCCTCTGATTCTAACGTGAATCAAACAGGGTAATACAAGGGGAGATAGTTGGCTTTTTGCTGGCTGCAAATGTAAGGGATGATTTAATTTTCAACACTTGGAATATATATAAATCATGAGGATATAATAAATCTAGGACTAAATAGAGCTGTCGCCAAGCAACCATTCACGGAAATGCTCAATTAGTAATAATGTTTCTCAATGCCTGCTGCATATTAGAATCACCTGGGGAGGTTCTTGTAAAAAGCTACCAAGTCAATATCAGACTAATTGAGTTAGACTGGCTGGAGTTGGGCCAGGGTACCCTAAAACTGTATTCTTAGAAGAATGTTATGTTTGTGGTTGATATATCTGTGCACATAAATAACAATGATCTTAAGTTCAAAAGATTGGCGTGGGGTAGGCATATAAGAACAGATACTGAGACTACATTTTTTGTAGCCTGAGGCTATAAACACATCAAGTACTTTGCTTTTCATGTGGAAACTTCCCTATAGGGTTTCTGAGAGAAATTGCAATTCTTGGATACCCAACAATATATAACATGAAAGCAGCATTACCTCATGGGCCTTTAGCTCAAGTTTTAATTCATCTTGGGTCATGACACACCCTTTTTTTTTTTTTTTTTTTTTTAAGCAGACATTGAAAGTGTTTCTGAATGGCACTGGTTATTGAATTTTCTTGAAATGAAAAGTTTCCGTGACAGCTCTGACCTAGCACCTGCTGATTAAATGGGCAGGAGAAGTTCATTCCCGGGTAGGAGAGAACAAACTTTCCCTGCCCATTTAATCAGTGACTTTTGTCTGCTGCTCCTCTGGCCTGGTCTCAAGCTTCAAGAAAATCTCAGATTTGCTCATCTCTGAAATCTTTTGGGATGTGAGAGGGATTGCTCTTCTCAAATGGAGGCCCCCGGTCAGCAACACCAGCTCGTTTGTTAGAAATGCAAATTCTCAGGTCCCGCCCCAGACCAAGCAGATCAGAAACTGTGTTTCAACAAGCCCTCTGGGAGACTGTGCTGCATGTTCAAGGTTGAGAACCACTGAGCTACCAAAATGGATCTTACCTTGTTTTTCTCAATAATAAGTGTGCTTTTCTCAATAGACAAGCACCAAGCAGGCATTTGTAGGCATACGTCATACTTTGCTTTGCTTCCTTCTTCCCTCTCCACTCTTCCTTCTGAGGATGAGGCAGATCGGGGCTAGAGGGAAAATGAGGGGTAGCTTTAAATCTCTGAAATACTGTCATCCAGGTTCCTATTTTTGTTTTTTTTTGCGGTACGCGGGCCCCTCACTCTTGTGGCCTCTCCCGTTGCGGAGCACAGGCTCCGGACGCGCAGGCTCAGCGGCCATGGCTCACGGGCCCAGCCGCTCCGCGGCATGTGGGATCTTCCCGGACCGGGGCACGAACCCGCGTCCCCTGCATCGGCAGACGGACTCTCAACCACTGCGCCACCAGGAAAGCCCCAGATTCCTATTTGTTCCAATCTTTTAAGAGATAATAATCAGATAAAAGTTACATTATATACACATATATAAGTATATAAAGAGATATACAATGTATAAAGATATATTGTATCATAAATGTATAAAGCTATATACAATGTTTAGTAAACATTGTGTGTGTGTGTATATCTCTCCATTATAAATGTAAAAAGATATATACAATGAATAAAGATACACTATATATATATTATATATGTAATGTATTATGTATTTATAAAGGTAAAATATACACTGTGTATATATAAATGTATAAAGGTATACACAATGTATAATAGGTACATTGTGCATACATAAATCTCTGTTGTGAATGCAGGGAAGACTAAACCAGGAAATTCCAGAAATCAGGGTACCATTGGGAATCCAAAGATCATGAGAAAAGACTTGGGAGATTGGCAGTCAGCAGGGGAGAGAAATAAATCTTGGATGGAGTGGGGAGAGGAACAAAGCCTGGTAAGGGCCACTGCATTGCACAACCCAAAAGAGCCAGCCATCATTTGCCTGGAATTTCCTGCAGAGATGCTCCCAGGGCTGTGCAGGGCAGTGCTCTGGGTCAAAGGCAAGGGCAGGAAGTAGCCTTGGATGAGGCTGTAAAGTTTCCTTCTAAAAGTCAGTCATGCTGTGACTTCTTTAGGATGTTAGAATAGGTAACTGAAGACAGCTGTGCTATCCTCCGAGGGTCTTTAAAAATAGAATTGAGGGGCTTCCCTGGTGGCGCAGTGGTTAAGAATCCGCCTGCCGGGGCTTCCCTGGTGGCGCAGTGGTTGGGAGTCCAGCTGCCGATGCAGGGGACACGGGTTTGTGCCCCGGTCCGGGAGGATCCCACATGCCACGGAGCGGCTGGGCCCGTGAGCCATGGACGCTGAGCCTGTGCGTCCGGAGCCTGTGCTCCGCAACGGGAGAGGCCACAACAGTGAGAGGCCCGTGTACTGCAAAAGGGAAAAAAAAAAAAAAAAAAATAGAACTGATTCTCTTCTCTCTTGGGGGTCTTGAAGGCAGAGAGAAGAATCAGTGTAATTTTGCCACTAGAACCCTTCCAACTGTTAACAGGTGAAGTTTTGTTATAGCCTCTATCTATCTAACTATCATCTATCTCAAAGCCCTTCTCTCCAGACATTCCAAGAACTTAAGCTATCTGGTCTATCTTTCAGACATCATGAGGGGGTGGGGTAGTTAGCATGGATGGTCACCCCAATAACAGAGAAATTTGGAATCTCTCCAGAGGGTTTCTAGTAGTATTTAGATGTATGGAGTTACCAGACCCTCTGCTGAGTGCCTACATGCATGATCTCATTGAGTCTTCACGACCACTGATGATAAAGGTGCTGTTAATATCCTCAGTATTTGTAGGTAACTGAGAAGGGACTGGAGCTGAAGTCAAAGCCTGAAGTTCCATCCAGATCACTTTACTATTTAATGGTAGCTAAGGTCTTGATTCAGGTGGGCCTGCAGTTACTTACTGGACCCTTCATTGTCAGGGCTCAAATTGAGATACGCGGTTACCTACGTTCTTTATGTACTTGAGTTCTTTCTTTTACTGGCTTGCACTTCTAAACCTCTATTTGTGGCGATATTTTAAGCTAATGATTGGTAATCTAAAAAGCTCTTAGACTTCCATGTAGTATTTTAAATACACTGTGACTTTTTAAAATAAAAAATTAACCACTGGAAACCAAGCATCTTTCTCTTTCTTATGGGCTGAGCTTCAACATTATAACAGGAATTCACTAATGAAACAGACATAAAAAGAGACTCTCTAAAAATTTAAGAGGGTCATATATTCTGTGGTAATTGTTATTTTCCTAGTTAACTTCATCTCCATTTGTGTACCTGCTACAAATGTTTAATTATGTTCAGTGATTCTGTGTTTTATAATTTACATTGTCTTTTATTTCTTCTTATTGTCCAAAGTATTTTATTGGATGGTATGTGTGTAGTCTACTTTTTAAGCACATCAACATAATTCTTTGGGGTGAACTTCCCTTGATAGCTACTTAGAACATCAAGAAATTTTACTGCCTATGTACTTCTGGCATATTTTGAAGGAAAGGGGATTAATTTATTCTATGTCCGACAGTCCTGAATTCTTAACTGCTTTATCAAAAGAGTGTATAAATAAGATTCTTTTTTCTTTTTATTGCAGGAAATGCAACATATTGTTAAATCACAACACATCAGAGCAGAAAAAGGTAAGCATGGATCTGTATAAATATTTGAAAACCCCTAGGGTGACTCCTCTTTGAGCTAACATGGCTTCTCTCATCTCCAGCCATGGTGGAAGGTTCATGGTTAGATCTGGCCAGAAGGAACAAGCCTGAGACTCAGCCCTTTGCCCATCTCACGATTAATGCCATTGACATCCCATCAGGTAAGTTCCATTTATATCCAGCCTGAAAAATATTTCAAGAGTAAGTCTGAAAGAGAAAAACAAATACCGTATGCTAACACTATATATATGGAATTAAAAAAAAAATAGTTCTGATGAACCTAGGGGCAGGACAGGAATAAACACGCAGACATAGAGAATGGACTTGAGGACACAGGGAGGGGGAAGGGTAAGCTGGGACGAAGTGAGAGAGTGGCATGGACATACATGCACTACCAAATGTAAAATAGATAGCTAGTGGGAAGCAGCCTCATAGCACAGGGAGATCAGCTCCGTGCTTTGTGTCCACCTAGAGGGGTGGGATAGGGAGGGTGGGAGGGAGACGCAAGAGGGAGGAGATATGGGGATATATGTATACGTATAGCTGATTCACTTTGTTATACAGCAGAAACTAACACATTGTAAAGCAATTATACTCTAATAAAGATGTTAAAAAATAAAGTCATTTATCAGCCCATCTGAATACTCAGACCTAGTCTTAGCCTGTTAGCAAAATTTTGAGAGCCCTTAACTTCTAGACCAGAAGAAAGATCATCTATTCTTCAGTTGATCATCCACATGATGGAAACAGTGATTCTCGTTCGTGCCAGGATGGACATCATCACTATATTCATTTTCAGATCATCAGAGTGAGTTTATTTTAAAAGACTGCTAGTTGAGGTTGCATAACTGGGAAGGATAATCCCGTGTTATACTCATCTCTATTTTTCCAAGCAAAAGTTGACACATCCCCATTGCTGGCCTGTGAGGTGCATGAATTCCTCCAGGTAGTCATATACTCAGCCATCTCCTGCAGAGTTCCAGGCAGGAGCTCAACAGAGTGACATTTAAGAGGCAATAGCCCTCTAGAAAATGAGACATACTCGTTCTCCAGGGACTTATCGTTATTTTCTGGCTAAGAATTTAGCTCAGTAGACTGGAGACCTCATTATCTGTTGGAAATGAGGAAACCCAGAGCTCTATGTCTACATCTACCTAATGTACCAGTGATTTCCATCATATAATCCCCACTGGTTACTTCACATCGGGTTAGGTGGGCATCAGAAAAATCACAAAGAACATTATGATGGAGTGACAATGGAATATTATTGTTATTATTCTTATACCATTTATACACACACTTTGTATCAGGCATTTTGCTCTGTATTCATTATCTCTAAACCTTACTACAACCCTGCAAGGTAGTGATTATCATTCAGATTTTGCAAACAGGGAAACCAAGGTCCACCTAGTGTAAGTTATCTGATCGAGGTTACAACGTGGCAGGATTCGAAGTTGAATTCCACTCTAGCTGATTCCCAAGTCCATGCTTTTTATACTGTGGGTTATCACATAAGTACCTTGTGGCCTGTTGCCTTTGTCAGAGGGGAATAAATTCAGAGAGCTTGTGTTCCTCTTTTTATGAAAAAAGTAGATTAATGTGGTTTTAATAGCAGGGCGTCTCAAGTCTGACGGCCTGGGTTTGAGGTCCCACTGTACTACCTGGCTGGGTGACCTTGTGCAAATTATTGGAATCCTTTGTGTGTCACCTTCTTTATGGGGATGGTAACAGTTCGTACATCATGGGGCAGCTATAAAGATCTAATGAGGTTATATACTAAAATGCTTATATGGAAGTGGGCATGTAGTAAGAACTTAGTGAATGTAATTTGTCATTATTTAAAGTTGAATTAAATAATTTTATATATTCTATTTCTTGTTTTACAAAAATGATTCAAGGCAAGTTCTTCTTAGAGTTAAAAAAAATCCAAGTTTTAATAAGCAGTTTTGAAGCTACTAATATAGTATGGGCCACAAAGGAATTTCTCCTGACTACAGACCTAGAAAGGAGAAACCAACTCTTTGATTTTTAGATTTTTCTAAACTATCTATACTGTCCCAGATATTTGCTTCATAAACAAATTCTCCTCTCTCTCTCTCTCTCTCTCTCTCCTCTCTCTCTTTCTGTGTGTGTGTGTGTGTGTGTGTGTGTGTGTGTGTGTATGTGTGTGCCTTATGGTGGAACTACACTAATTTTCTGAGTGGAAAACTATTTTGCATGTTAGCAAAGGCAATCAAATTAATACCGATCTGTCAGCTGTGTGTGCTGTGAATGTAGTCTGCATTTATCTTTTCAGTTCATTTTAAATGGCATATGATAAATATTGCATTAGACTGTGTGCCAAAGTCTATTTGGCAATAGCAAGCATGTTTTAGTTACATAGCTCTCCCTCCAGGCACCTTGCATCAAATCATTGCCAAAAAGAAGGCAAAACTCCTGGTTATTTTATGATGGTTATTGAGCTTGAGACAGAGTGAAATGAGTTAGTGTATGCTTCTGTTTAAGAAAATAGAATTTGCTCTTCTGGCTTGGCCAATGACTCCTTGAGTCCATTTATCTCCCAGTTTGGGCCAGGATTGGATACTTCAGAGGAAGATGGCTTTAATTTTGCATGTTCATTCAGGGCCTCTGTTCCATACTTATTTGTACCTATTTACACATAAGAAAGAAATCAGAATCTGCCTTATACTGACTGTATTTCGAAGCTTCTTGAATAAAATGCATTGGGGAGTATCTTGTGAGGTCAGGATTCATGGCTTTCTTAAGGGCAGCTCAGGCTAAACATCTGGAGAGACTTCTCTAATATCTAATAGCAGTGACCCTAGGGGCTGGGGCGGCTGGGGAGGCGGAAGGTCGTCTAGTGATGGAAGCCCAGGCTTGCTGTGTGAGGTCCTTCAACCTGATGGGGGTGCTGTTCTCATCTTTTCTCCCACTATCGCTATTCATGAGCCCTCCAGCTCACACCGACGGTTCTCCCTTTTCCTCTGCGTGCTGTGTGCATTCCGTTCTTCGCTCGAACAGTTTCCGTCCATCACAATCCTCTCCCTTTTCTCAGCCCGTCCACATTTGACCCAAGTCCTCCCTGCCCTCTGTCACTGGGCTGAGTTCACGTGGTCGCCACTAATTTCTGCAGCTTCCACTTGGCAGGTGCTTTAACTGAACTTCAACCATGTGCTGTGTGACCTGCAGAAATGAAAATGTTACGTTTTTCGTTTGGTGTGCCCACTTCTTTTCTCCACTACTAAGTGCCTTGAGGGTGTACTGCTTGATGCATTTCTTAACTGTGGATAGAGTGAATGCCCATAGAAAGCACCATTCAGATATTTACTAAATGACGAAATTGATCAGCGAATGGATAAATATAGCCATGTTTAGAAGGAAATAATGACACTCCTTCCACTTGACTTGCGCTAACAACAGGAGTGGTATGTGGTCAGGGTTTCTGTGTTCTCCTCTCTCTTTCATATCCTTCCCTGCCTTTCCTGGGCTGTATCTCTGAGCCCTTGGTCTAACGCTAGCTGATCCAACCTGTCGAGAGGGTAGACGTCACCTTAGTCATTCTGCTGCTATCTGTTAAGGGCCGTCATAGGAGATAAACTATAAGACCGATAATTGATTGCATAAAGGATTGAATACAAGAGTAGGGGAAGAAGGAGGTAACCATGGGATGGTTTGAGATAGGAAACACCTTGAGTTTTTTTAGCTCTGTCAATGGACTAGGTGGCTGTTTACCAGCCTGAAGAAGTTACTTTGCTAGTGTTCTTGAGGATGTGATGCATAGAGTCTTACAGTCTCATTTTGACTCATTTGGGACCATGGAATGATATTTACATTTGGGATGCTTTAATTTAGGATGATCTGAGGTAGGACCTCCGATGCAAATGGGCAGGGCGCTGTGCCGGGTTCTGGAGGCAGCAGTGCCTGTGATGGCTTCTCAGGCTCGCTCGGGCGCCCTCCTGTGGATACGATGTGCAGTTCAGGAAATCTGTCCTGTCCCTGAGCACGGGGATTGAAACCATTGGCTTCTTTGCCTTTGCAGGCATGTCTAAGGATGGTGGGTTTCCCCACCATAGCTTGGACCCCGCTGCATTTTTTTTTTCTTCCACTTACCCTACCGTCTAGTTGGTTCTGGAACAGCGTGGTATTGAGGTCCCCAGACCATATCCCAGCTGCCCAGTAGCCCTCCAGAGACAATAGAACATTAACCTTTTCGTGGCTCTCCAGAGTAAGATGCGGGTGTTCAAGTTTTCCCAGGATTCAGGCCAGTCTTGAAAGTTAGCCAGTGTGGGTTTCTGGCTCTACAAAGATCTCCCAAGGACCCGCTGTAGCCAAAGTGTTGTCAGCTCTGATGGATCCGTGGAATCCAGTTTAAGTCTAAATTCTGCGGGGGATTTCTCTTGGGTGACAGGCAGCAAAGAACTTCTCCCTGGCTGCAAAAACTGCTCCCCACCCCATTCTGAGACTCCTCAGCTCTGTTTTGCCTTGTTGAAATCCTAGCAGATGACAGCCTTAACTTAGCATAAGTGTTTACAAAATCCTCTGGAGGAAAACTCTGGACTTTCCACAGTATAACAGCTTTTTTCCCACTAGCTGACATCTTTTCCAGTTGGCTAATAGGTATCCATATAAATATAAATATTTGATTACTGAGGTTTATCACGGAGGTAGTCCCAATTTTTAAAGACCTAGTAAAGTACACTAAAGACCTGAAATATTCAAAGCGTTGGACACTTTGCTGACTTAGAAGATTTTCTAGAAGCTTCGGCCGCTCCAGAAACAGTGACATGAAAATCGGTTGTCACATTTCAGGTGTGAGAAGGAGCTAAAGGAGAGTTCTGGTCTAATAATTAGAAGAGATTTTACCATCCTCTGGGCACAAAGGATTGCATGAAGTTGTGAAGCTGGGGAGTGCAATGCCAAGGATATGTTCTTTGTGAACTTCTCTGGGGGCAGCTTTTCAGTCGTGTGACCTTGGGAGGCATTTGGGCTATTGGAGGAGGGGAAAATCAATGGTGATGAGAAGATGGAGTTTAAGAGTTTGACTTTTTGGTCCAAGTTGCTGTGACCCAGATTTTCAGCTCCTTCTATATACCTCTCTCCATGAATTAGAAGAGAAAGTGGGATCACGTGGAGTCTGGATATTCTCTTCCTATACTTGTTTCATGCTTTCTTGTTTCAGCTGCCTCTGGCTGATTCTCTTCCTTCAACCTTGAGTGACGTTTATGCTTCTATTGGCTGAATTCCTCCTTTAAGTTATCAGGCTCAGTAGCCCAGCAAAACCGTTCTTGAGCCCTCTGGGAGGAAGTAATCTCTTTCCTTTGAATTCCCATTGTAATATCCACACCTTTCTTATCAGGGCCCGCGCCTTGCTTCCTGTCTGAACGTGTATCATACTCATCCCTTGTGTACTGTAGGCTCCTTGAGGGCGGGAAAATTGAGATTTTGTATTTGTCCCCCCTCTCAGGTGCCTAGCAGAGAGCCCAACTGCTTCTTAATGTACTGGTACTCCCCTTTTAGAAAATAAATTCTGAGAAATTATTCTCCCATTGGAACAATGACTGTTACAGTAAGTCTTTCTCCAACCTCATAGAATTGTGAGGATGTCCTTCTTGGAGAGGTGGGTTTTAAATCACGTGCCTCTCTTTTCCTCAGGTTCCCATAAAGTGAGTCTGTCCTGCTGGTACCATGACCGAGGTTGGGCCAAGATCTCCAACATGACTTTCAGCAATGGAAAACTAATAGTTAACCAAGATGGCTTTTATTACCTGTATGCCAACATTTGCTTTCGACATCATGAAACTTCGGGAAACCTCACTGCGAATTATCTTCAGCTAATGGTGTATGTCACCAAGACCAGCATCAAAATCCCGAGTTCTCATACCCTCATGAAAGGAGGAAGCACCAAATACTGGTCGGGGAATTCTGAATTCCATTTTTACTCCATAAATGTTGGGGGATTTTTTAAGCTACGGTCTGGTGAGGAAATAAGCATTGAGGTATCCAACCCTTCACTACTGGATCCAGATCAAGATGCGACGTACTTTGGGGCTTTTAAAGTTCGAGATATAGATTGAGCCCCATTTTATGAAGCGTTTTCACGTGTTTCCTAGGATGTATAGAAAACTTTAAACACAAGCCAAGAAAGATATATGTAGGTGTGTGAGACTACTAAGAGCTATGACCCACAGGGTACAAGAAGACCCATGCCTTTGACTCTGTAGGGAGCGAATGTATTTACAGCCAATGGGAGATGTTGGACTCAAGGTGTGTTACAATCTAAGGGTTTTCTTACACAGTGGTTTTTAAATTTTGTAATGAATTCCTAGAATTAAAGCAGATTGGAGCAATTATGGTTGCCTTTATGAAAAACTGCCTTTGGGCTATGGGAGGGGTTAATTCTCTGTCTCTAATCCATGGTTAGGTGCCACGATGCAGCCGAAGTGGAAAGGGGGTCATCTAATTGCAAACTGATGACCATCTGAAGGGTGAAAGTCTTTTGAATTGTTACATCATGCTGGAACCTGCAAATAAATACTTTTTCTAATGAGGAGAAAAAAGTATATGTATTTTTATATAATATCTAAAGTTATATTTCAGATGTAATGTTTTCTGTGCAAAGTATTGTAAATTATATTTGTGCTATAGTATTTGATCCGAAATATTTAAAAATGTCTTGCTGTTGACATATTTAATGTTTTAAATGTACAGACGTATTTAACTGGTGCACTTTGTAAATCCCCTGGGGAAAACTTGCAGCTAAGGGGAAACATGTTGTTTGCTAATATCAACTGTATGATACTTTTTAACTTAATAGATTTTTCAGACTTCTCAAGTCTGTTTCCAAAACATTGAAATGCATGCCTTGAATAATAAGCAGAATGTTGGCCACCAGGTGCCTTTCAAATTTCGAAACTAATTGACTTTAGAAAGCTGACATTGCCAAAAAGGATACATAATGGGCTACTGCGATCTGTCAGCAGTATTTATATAATTATTGAACAGGTGTTTTTTTTTCTACAGGTGCTGCAAATTGTAAATTTTTTTCATGGAAAAGTTATCAGTGGCTTATAGCAAAAAAAAAAAAAATTCCATTTTTAATTTAGTGGAAGTTATTTTATACTATACAATAAAAACATTGCCTTAGAATGTTGTGGGTTTCTTTTTGGTATGAAAATAAATTTATAGGAAAACCTGCCTTGTGATTTTTGTGCTTCTCTTTTATGTCTGTCTTGCTCTGTGATCCTTTCTCTCCAATATGGTAATGTGGCTTCTATCTTTCCAAAGGTTACCAGGAGCAATGCAGATTTAATTAAAAATTAGGAACCGATTCAATTAAATTGCTGAACCTCGGAATCTGAAAAATAATTTACAAGGGATTTGTATGCAAGAATGCAGCCAGATAGAACACAGAGGCTTCACCACTCAAAAAAGAAAAGTTTGTTATGCCTAGATCTTGAGAAAAAATAGTGCTTTGCACAAGTTCATAAGGCCCTGCAGAACAATCATTTGACCTGGAGGAAACCCTGAACGTTGTATCTCTTACTAGTGAAGAAGCAGTAACAGTGGCTGGATGCTCGTCCTCATGGAAATTTATGTGAGAGAGCCATCTAGCCCATGTTGATTATTCCACATGAGACAGAAGGAAATGAACAGCTTGGGAAGACACAGGAAGCTATAATTCAAAGCACTTGCCATTTGTGGATAAATGTTTCTTGATGGTTGGAACAGGAGAAAAGGAGAAAAACGGCAGAGGTTACAAAGAAAAAAATTGTCAGTTCTTTTGACAATTTGACAATTGAGGGTGGGACTTGATCATTGACCAAAATACACCTATTGTTTTCAAACTATCAGTAAATCTGAGGTAGATTCGTACAAAATGTCTGTTACATATCCCAATTGCTGGTCCCAAATATTCTTTGTTTAAGGAAAAATTAACTTTGAGGGGCCACTGGAGAATTTCTCTACTCTCCACTGACACAGAATCCTGTTACACAGAGAGCCTTATTAGCTACCCTGGCTTCTAGAATATGATTCTATCATTTCCAAAGGTGAATAACATTCATTCATTCATTTGCTTGTTTGCTGCACATTATTTATTGAGCATCAACTATGTGCTAGGCACTGTACCAGGCACTGGGGATACGATGGCACTCCTCTTGCCCTGCAGGAAACTTCATTTCAGTGGGGAGCCAGCCTAGTAAGAGTGTGGTAATCTCCAAGTCTTGGGCATCTACAGAATGCTGTAGGAACAGAAAGGAGGCCATTGAACCCAATAATGGGGATCACAGACGGTCTAGAAATGAAATCAAAACTGGATAGGAGGTGGGCTGAATATCCATTCCCACTTTTAGCTTAGAGACAACTAACTTGCAGTCTCTCAAAAATGAGCTAAAACCCAAGGCCTAGGGATGGAAAAACCCTGGAATCTAGTAAAAAATACATGGTGGCACTAGCCAGACTGGAGAAGTAACATGGTGGATGGCTTGCCACGCTAAGAGAGATCCTCTAGAGAAGACCTTGAATATTCAGCCTGACCGTAATGTGAATTTTGTGTATGTTGACAACCTGATAGGTCAGGGATATTTAGAGCTTCGCTGGAGTGAATCTATGACAATGAAATGTTGGTGTGAACTGGGCTGTGTCTTGAAGGAGGCAACTGTAGCAAATGGATATGGCAGGAGGTCTGGGAAAGGCTTATTCTCTTTTCTAGTGACACCCAAGGCTTTCCAGGATCTGAATAGCAGAATCTAAAACACAGGATCCAAACCCTACTTTTCCCACTCACATGCTACTTTTTACTCCTGCTTTTTCTTCTCACTCACCCCCTTTTCCACTTCCACTCTTGAGTGTTTTAATCCTGTTCTTTTTTCTTTTCCCCTAATCCCTGGCTCTTGCCTCAGAGGACCATTTAGTTTCTACGATGGCCCTCGTGCAACAGAAGGCTGCTGCATCTAATTATAACAGCACCCGACCATGTCAGCACTCAGCACAGTGAAGTGAAGGTTGAGGAGTGACAAAATATGTCAGGAAACCAACACATACTGGACGCTAGGGCAAATGAAACTGTTTGCTTATTTTACCTACTCCATTTCAGTCTTCTTCCCAACACCTGCCAAATCTGAAGCAAGGGAAGCATATGCCAAATTTGAAGTCATCTCTCTTCTTGAGTCGGTTTTGACATCTATACCAGGCCCGTACATCCTTGCGTCTTCCCAAAACGCTACATGCGCAGCCATCCTTGTCTAGCAAATTTGTTTTCCTCCCTTTCCTCCTTCCTTTTGTCTCATTCATCTCCATCAGGCCATCCTAGAGAATTAACCAGAGAAGATCCATTTCCCCAGTGACTTAGTGGTTAGTGGGAACCTAAGCACCTCACGCTTCAACCTCTCTGTCTGTATAATTATCAACGTGGCTAGAGATAGCGCCCTGGGGTCATACGTACACATTTTAGGGACCCAACTTTGACTCAACCTGCAGTTCCACGTTTAGCCTGTGGAGTCACTGGGGGGCACGTGCTGGCTTCAAGCTTGGCTTTGTTAATGGATTCTCTAGCTTCCTTGCAATGAAATTGATATATGTTCCCCAGTAGTTGCATTTATAAATGCTAATTAGTTATTGAGTCACATTACTACGATTTAGCCTTGTGTCCCTTTGTACAATAAAAAATTTGTACACAGCGAGTGTTAGCTATAAAACAGAAATCTATCCTTTTGATTAATAATACTTTTATGATACGGCTACTCTTCTAGTCTTGTAGTTTAAAAATTCTGTTTCCTAATCATCTACCCTCACCTCCCTTCTCCTTTGCTGACTGATTTTTTTCTGTTGTTACTGCATCTTGACCAGTGCTCTGGCTATTTGCAGTGACAAGCTCTTTGATATTATCAGATGTGGACCACTTACAACATTATTCATATGCTACTGGCTTTCCATATCTGTAGAATCATCTGCTTTGAAAATTCAAAGAGGTAGTAGCCCTTTCCGTTGGCAAAGGAATGAGCTAGGAGTCACTTGCTCCGTTTGTAGCAGCCGGAGCTAAGATACCGGGGATCAGGGCTGGTTTCAGAGACAAGAAGTTCTCCCGATAAAAGATAATAGATATTTCAATCTCCCTTATCAGGGTCTTAAAATCAAGGGATGCCATTCTCTTGGGGAAAATCCATTTTCTTCCTTTTCCTATGGATTCTGAAGAAGCTGTGTTGCGTCAAAAGACGGATCTCAACAATCCCACGTTGGTAGAATGAAAGTAACTCATGAGACATGAACATCTTTTGGAGGAAGGGTCGCAGATTTGGGCATCAGCCAGATTCTGGCTTGGAATCTGAGCTCTGCTGCCTGGTAACCCCGGGCAGATGGCCACCATTTGGATTTCAGTTTCCTTCCTTGTAAAGCAGGAGTCTCCCTGTCTGTGTTGAAGAGTTGTGAGGATTAGCAATGGGAGGTGCTCAAATAGGAGCCACCGTTTTTAACCTCTCATCCCATTTGCTACATCCCGAGTCCCAGGTCACACACACAGTTTGTCCTCTTTTTCTCTAGCTGCCCAGCACAGCCTGTGTTGAGCAAAGCGCTATGCTCTGAGTTGCGGGGGACACCAGGAGAGAGATGGTATTAATTTCCTGGGGCCGCAGGATGGTCACGTGGCTGGTAGCAGGCAGGGCAGGGGGGTTGAGAGATCAGAACCATACCTGTGACCCTGAAATCTTTGGTAAGTTACCAGCATCCTCATGCATTTGTTTTTACTGCATTTCTGGTGGGAGCCAGTGGAAGGACAGCATTTGCCCAAACACTGTGAGATGCAGAACGGAGCACCCTGCAGAAGCAGGAAAGGAGGGAAGTGCGGGGCCACAGCCATGACCTTGGGGTGGAGGTGCTGTACTTTGTGGCGGGGTACTTCAACCTTCTCTGGGTGGGGAAATCTGTGCTGAGGACACTTGTTCAGGTTTAAGATGGAGTATTCAAATTTAGAAGGAAGACATCCTAGACCCTAATAAGTAAAAGGAGAAAAAGTTCACACACAACTCTAGGGAAAGCACAAATAATAAATGAGACTTGCCAAGAATGTCCAAGTGAGGAAACACGTCATGAAATAGGCAAGGGCCATCTAGAGGAGTTTACCTAAATCCCAAGGTGCAGAGAGACACTGCAGCAGAGGAAGAAAGAGGCGCCCACGGCGTGTCAGGTCTA